CCCCAACTGACGCCCACGTTCAGGGGGCCTGGTTCTGTCTTAAGTAGGCTCCCCAGCTGTCAGTTTGGAGTCAGTGAGCTCTCACTTGCTTATGTCAGCTGTTTCTGTGAATGGTCTTAACTCCTTTGCTCATCACTCCTCCCTCTGTACAACTGGATTCCAGGAATTCAGCTCAGTGCTTAGCTGTGAATCGCTGCTTCTTCTTCCATCAGTTACTGAATGAAGGCTGTCTGATGGCATTTAAAGTAGTCATCAATGTCATTATAGGGGAAGGATATTTAAGGTAGCCTCTCCAGTAGTGCTTAGATTCTTAGTTGGGACGCCTCACTCTCTGCTATCAATTTTCCATAATGTATTACCCAGAAAATGTATGCTAGTATGAATTTTGAATTAAGTAACTTAAAATCTGTAATGAGAAGAAACAATATTCAAATCTATGCCAAATTTCAGTAAAAGAATTACATAAATATTTTGTGTCTTTAGTCTTCTGAAATATTTAGTTGTTGTTTTACTAAAGTACTTTTTATTCAGTGTATTTGGAATGAACAATATTTCTCATAATGTTAAATTTTGTAAATGTGTCTAATTCTTTGTGGATTTCACTTTGTGTTTTTGCCATGGCAAAAGAACCATTGACTTGTTTTCCTCCAATCAGAAAGTATTACGTAGTAATGGGCAATGATTTAAATTAGAATTCTTGCTAATGCCTCATTATTTAAATTTAAAGAATTTTACTAAGAGTAAACAATAAAGAAAAATGAGTCCATATAGTGATAGTCACAAAAAATCAAGCAAGCAAATGGAATGATGGGATACTTACTTAATTCAAATTGGTCAAAATTCCTTTAACTGTCATCATCTTAAAATTACAAAGGAGACAGGAGGAAGAAAGAATAAATAATGCATTATAGTGCTTTCCAGTATATGCCAGGAATGCAATGATGTGCCAACGCAAGCCATTGCCTGCCCAGGGAAAGCAGCATGTATAAAGGGTCAGGACTTAGGTGGGTGGATTTTTATAATGCAAATTTGGAATTTGTTTTTTCAAATGTTTAAGACATACTTCATTTATTGAATCTGTGTCATTTACTAAATTTTTATTGTTTAGAAACAAATCTGCAATATTACTTCCTGTAACATTTTCTTAGCAAGAATGCTAAGGTGCACCCACCAGTACATGAAAGTATCTGAAATGAAAAACGACAGTTGTAATGTTCTACACTGGGATCTGTTGTGGAAATGCTGAGGTTGTGTTTATGGTGATAGGGAAGAAAAGAAGGCAGTTTCCAGACTTCTCCCTCAAAACCACCACTTGGCAGAGGATGTGGGAGGCTGGAGAAGACAGAGCTTTGCCTTAGTTGAAACAGCTGTGAAACATATGCAGACAAATGTGAAATTTGCCAAAAGCCTCATCCAAACTTCTTACCCATTTTCCAGCAAAGAAAAAGCAGCCAGGTGATAATAGTACGGGGATTTAGAGTTAGCAAGTGGTAACTTTGAAAAGCATAAAAAATAATTTAAATTCAATATTATAGGAAATACAAGCCCAAAAGATACAGTTCTGAAAGCAGTTTTTAAAAATGAAGATTGGGAACATTGTGGATTAGTAGGGCAGTAGAATCATATGTTACTACATGAAAGTGCAGTAGATAAAGGGGCCATGGTGTTACCTAACTCAGTTGGCATTCCTCGCCAAGAAGCACATAGCTGCTCTTTATGTTAGCTTCAACTCAATGAGAACTTCTGTGATTATTGAAAATATAAGTGTGCATAGCTTACTTCATTTTATTCAATGGACTTCTCTTCTTTGCAACTTTTCATTGGTATTCAGTCATTTTGTAAATTGTTTTTGGATTGAAACGCTGAATGATAGCCAGATTTTTACTTAAATCCAGTCACTGGTGATATAAACATGCTGCTGTATATTTCTTGTCATAATGATTGCATGTATAAGCCCATCACATGTTTTTTGTGTATGTGGTGTATTTATGAAATACTCTGGAATATTTCAAAGCTGGAGGAGATTGATGTCAGAGAAAGAAAAATAAATACCAATTAATGGATTTCTCTCAATGTGAATTTGTTCATTCATGCTTTCTTACTGGACAATGTGAACTGTGAGTCATTCAAACTGAGCTACATGAACCACGACTCATTCAAACTGAACTCACAGAGAAAAACTTCCTGCTTTGCCGTCAGCTTCCAAACCATTGTTTTCCTACCAATAACCACAAGCTAAGATCTCATTGAGAATGGTTGAAAGCTGGCAGAAATATTGATTCATGTGAACATGGATGGACTTGAGAGGGACTGGAAGCTGAATATTACATGCTGTTACTTGAGTTAGCATCTGCCAAAACAACCCATAGGACAAAAAAAGTGACCACTTGGAAATTTTATTCACACTATGCCAGAAAACTCAGTGCTGCAACAGTGTGGATGTTGCCCATGTGATGTACCTTAAGAACAAGTGTGTGATGAACTCTAGGTTCACTTTGATCCAGATATGTTGTCATCATCTAAGCATGCCTACCTATGAGCTGCCACCCATTATAAACTCGAGTAATTCCAATGGCATCCTAAGGTGTAATTGGACTGTATTTCACAAAACATTCTTTGACCTGGATAGGAAAGCCGACCTTCACCAGGCAGGGTGGGGATGCCAGTCAACATGGAAAGTAAGTGACAGCTTGGAAATATGGTCCTGAATGATGACCAGTCAAGGAAACCTTCTATGTGGCCCATTAACATAAAGGAGTAGCCAATGTGCCAAGATCTTGGTGAGAAACTGTTGCTATTGCTGGTTTTGTGAGAAAAACCCTCCTGACCAGTTTAGATTTGGGTAAGATTCAATCAAAATTGTTTGCCTTAAAATCTCCTGTTTATGGGTTACCATTTTGCAGTGCCTTCCTTATGCTGGCTAGATTTCCTTTATGTTTATAGGAAAGAAAAGAACACTAAAAAATGAATTTGTTATTTCTTGGCATCAACGAACACTACTACATACAAAGCAACTGTGGCTGGACAGATAATTTCTCAAAAGTATCTTATTATATTTTTGTAATTAAAGCACAATTAAGATACCATGTTTAGATTTCAATTAGTCATTATTATACTTGCATCAATTTTGCCTGGGCTCATGGGAGATCTCCTTGCACTGGATAGGTATCACAAATCATGTATACCTAGTAAACAAGAAGTAGAAACCAGCAATTATTCTCAGGAGAAGACTTGAAAGATGATATTTATGTTGTTGGTATTTCACTGAGGATAAATGTGACATAGCTTCTGGAGTTGGATGTGGCTGCTATCCATATCTACCTTATGAATGCAGATCAGCTTTTCTATATTGTGTATAATCTGTTTTATAGTTTATAGAAAACACCTTCAAGCCTATATCTCAGGGATACTAAAAGGTAAATAAAATATTATGCATTGTGCTGTATTAATTCCTGAATAGATACATGGCTTACTATGTTCCAAATTACTGCTGTAATTTTACATGGTGTTGAAGCTACAATATGGGTAGTTGATATTTGGTATGTACAGATTGTGTTTATCATGCATGTACAATAAGAAATTAAAACTTATTGCATATCAGTCTTACTGACCTCTTTTTCATGGGTATCTTTGCATATCCTTTGTCTGAGCTTTAAGTGTTTTGAAAGTTTTATTTTATTTTTATTTATATCTATGTGTGTGCACAGGTGGGACACAGTGCCCACAGAGGCCAAAAAGAATATCAGATCTCCTAGAGCTTGAGTTACAGATGGTTGTGAGCCATCTGATATGGAAGCTGGAAATGGAAGTTAGGTCCTCTTGAAGAGTAACAAGCCTCTCCACTATTGCTTAGAGCCTTAGTTGGAGTCATCCTTGTGGATTTGTGGAAATTTCCCTAGTGCCAGGTTTCTCATTAAGCTCATAATGGCTCCCTCTATCAAGATATCTCTTTCCTTTCTCTCCTTCTCTGTTCTTCCCCCATGTTGACCTTCCTGATCCCTCATGTTCTTCTCCCCTTAACCTTCTCCTCTCCTCTTTCTCCTACCTTTCTCCTCCTCCACCATGCTCCCAATTTACTCAGGATATCTTGTCCCTTTCTCTTTTTCAGGGTCCATGTATATCTCTCTTTGGGTACTCTTTGTTTCCTAGCTTCTCTGGGGTTGTGGATTATAGGCTGGTTATCCATTGCTGTATGTCTAATACTCACTTATGAATGAGTACGTATCATGTTTGTCTTTCTGTGTCTGGGTTACCTCCCTCAGGATGGTTTCTTCTCCATTTTTCTGCAAATTTCAAAATTTCATTGTTTTTGTTGTTGTTGTTGTTGTTGTTACACTGAATAGTACTCATTATGCATGTATACCACATTTTCCTTATCCATTCTTTGATTGATGAGCATCTAGGTTGCTTTCAGGTTCTGGCTGTTACAAATAATGCTGCTATGAACATAGTTGAACAGATGTCTTTGTTATATGAATATTCATCCTTTGAGTATATGGATAAGGGTGGAATTGCTGGATCTTGACGTAGATTGATTCTTGTTTTCCTGAGAAACCGTCATGGGCTTGAAGTTTATATCCAATCACTAACCTATTTGTTTGGTAAAACAATCATATATGCAATTATTGCTTCTTTGAGGATTCCATATTCATTTATGCTTAGACCTTATGTACATGTAGCAAGAGAAAAATTTTATTTTTACAGTTGTTTGCTGATGAGGATTTGGTTTACTTTATTGTTACAATACCATTTTAGAAGTTAAAAATTGTGTTTGTATTTTACAGATGTATAAAGAACATTCCCAATTAAATCAGAGAGAGAGAAGGAAAATCTATCTTACCCTGTGGACATGTGATCAGTCTTACTGTATTAATTCACCATTAACCCTCTGTCTAGCCAAGTACTTGGAGAAGTAACTATTCAATAATTGTGAATGGTATGTTTGCATACATTTGCATGACTGTGTTAACACCCATCTTCTTGCACTTCCCCCCCCCCAGATTCGCAGGAAGGAAATTATAAGTCAGAAGTGAACAGCAAACCTAGAAAGGAAAGGACAGCTTTCACCAAAGAACAAATCAGAGAACTGGAGGCAGAATTTGCTCATCATAACTATTTGACAAGACTGAGAAGATATGAGATAGCGGTGAATCTAGATCTCACCGAAAGACAGGTAAAGTGGGCATCTTAGTTGTATGACATTTTATATTTCTATTTTTTATATTAGCAATCTTCTTTTACCATTTTTAATTATCTAGATTTATAATTTTCAAATGCCAATTAGAAATCTGTACTATTCGATGATTAAACTTTTGTTCTGCAAAAATTAAAACTTAAAAAAATGATATATGAGTGAAAGGTGTGTTTACTGAGTTTTAATAAGGAATGCTTTGCGATGGTAATATTCCTCTGTTTGTTTTAAAAACATGGTTTGTTTTAAATAATGTGGGTAAATGGTGAAATATTTCCTGTGTTTATATTTAAGATCTCCTCATCTGGTGTAATAAAAGGTTAGTTGTCTCTACAGGTCAGGATAGGTCATTCCATATTGCAATAGAACATTAACTTTTAAAACTAAAGCACAAAATAAAACAAAATAAAATGAAGTATCAATGGCTTATTTTCTTCATGAGTTCTACAAATCCAGCACTCTGAATAGTCACTCATGGTCCGTGGAATCTTAACGTGTGGTGCTGTTGGTAACCACAGGAGGTTATAAAAGAATTGGCAGTTCCCTTACTGGAGATATTTTCACCTAGAAATGACTCATATTCTCTCCATTTATTCTTATGTGTTATGAAATGATCAAGGGTGTAGCATGGGAGCAAGAAGGCTGGGTAATTATTGGCAGCAAGAACACACAGACCACTGATAAATATTTGTTCTCTATTATCAAAATACTTCAAAATTGTGTTTACTCTAGAAATTCAATAGTCTGCTATCTGCTCAAAGAATGCTTTGAAAGTGTTAATGATTCATGTGTCCAATAATGAGAACTAAATAATGTATTTAAATCCATTGCTTTATAGACTCTTTTATTTGGTTGTGTTTGGATGGAAAGTAATTTGTTCTGTTAGCACTCAGGGAGTACGCCCTATATTAATTCACATTTACTTTAGGACAATCCAGCCTTCAGATGGTTAACAGTCTTGCTAGTTAGAAAAAACATTCCTAAAAGGCAAATGCAAACATCTTTATGGACAGTGCAATTATAGCAGGCACTATTAGGGCAAGAGCTTCACTTCCTCTCTCACTGTTCATTCCCCCTCCAGGGGTCCCATAGGAATGAGGGAAATACCAACATGGTGTGGACAAATGACAAATGACTATCATACTTTATGATAGCAAGTGATTTTATCAAGTTCTTAAGTCATATTTTTTTCGTTCTGCTAATTTTTAGATTTCAGTTTCTGTGGGATATTTCTGGTTAGAGAAAATATACAAAGGAACACTTTTTTGAGGTTTCATTTATTGGCAGTTTATATTTTATTAAATATTATGACTAGTTCCTAAGCTCTGCAGTACCACATTTTCTTCCCCTGAATCACACACGGAGTTCCCTCTGTGAATGTGTGGCATTTGGCACTTCAGAAAGCAGGAACTAAAGTCTACATCATCAGATCACTCATCTATTTTAATATGTTTATCTGGGAACAGGGAAGTAAAGAAGGGGAAAAATTACAGTGAACTCCAGGAAAGAGCCCCATGTTTTAGAAATGCGAAGAAAATTGGCAACTGGAATTGAATTGCCATCTATACAATGATTGATGGAGCACTGAGCTCTAGCCAAGAGCAAAGACAAGAGCTATGCCTGCTCATATGGTGATGGTCCATCATCGTTCTCCATATATCCCAATGTTCCCATTCAAACTGAACCATCTGGCCAAATTCAATGTCAAGTAAAGAGTCATTATAAATATTGCTGAAGTAAGCTAGCAATAGTCTTATAAGAAAATCAGAAAAATAAAATAAACAAACAACCATCAAACAGACAAAAATCACACAAAACAAAAAAACTTGGAGAGATACTTGTATTCTCAAATAATTGAAAACTTGGGACTGTGTAATTTCTTCCCCATTTTGAGAATATCTTCTGGCATTTGCAAGTTAACTGGAAGGGTAATATGTTCATTAGAACATGCATACTAAATCAAAGCTAAATCTCTTAAGGTACACTGTCATAAATGCCAATTTTAGGATGCAAAATCCATGAAGGAATATCTGGGATTGACCACTTAGAAGTTTATTTTCTTAGAGTAGCAAAAAATATGTTTGAGTCACAAATAGAAGCAAATATGTTTTCTCTTTCTGATTTACTCACCATAGTGGAAATAAAAACATTTTCCTTTTTTAAGGATTTTATTTATTTATTTATTTATTTATTTATTTATTATGTATACAATATTCTGCTTCCATGGATATCTGCACACCAGAAGAGGCCACCAGATCTCATAATAGATGGTTGTGAGCCACCATGTGGCTGGGAATTGAACTCAGCACCTCTGGAAGAGCAGTCAGTGCTCTTAACCATTTCTCTAGTCCCCAATATAGACAGCTGCATGGTGGGGACTCCTCATTCACAGGCCTGTTGGATAAATCCATTGGTAGCACAGATACTTGTTGAGCTGGGTACTAGAAAGAAAATCCTGTCAAAATAAGCTGAGAGTCCATGATGTGGTTCACAGGACGGGAAAACTGAACACATGTTAACCATGGCAAACGCTGTCAAATTTAACCACAGATTAGCAGGAGAATGCCCTGAGTTGTACCAAATGTAAACTTTATTCTTATGCATTTATGTTCAAGTAGTTTCATGAATTGCAAATTTAAAATTTTTATTTTAACTGCATGTGATAAATTTATTGTGCTGAATTCATCATAAAATAACATTTCATGATTCAATAATCACATTTCCTATTCTTGAGAATCTAAAGGCACATTTCTCTAAAATGTTGGGGAGTCATTCCCAGTGAAATATTTTTGGTTGTTAATTTTTGAGGGTGGACTTTTTAATGTCATAGCTGTAGACTCATAAGATACCTTTAAAATTCATGTTCTTTAAAATGGAAGGGAGTTTCTCTCAGTTCACTGGTGCATCTACAGCAAAACACAATTAGAAGATTTTCCAAAGAATCTAAATTTATTCCTTGCCCTGTGATACGATTGGAAGCCCAGGATCAGGTCTTGTTTTGCAGAGGGGCTGTGTTCCTGTAGGCAACCTTCAGCTTCTCGCTCTATGTGGCTAAAAGGCTAGCTGGCTCTCCAATTTACTTCTGTAATGATATTCATTACTACTGTAATGATATTCATTACCTTTATTGTTTAATTTTTCAGAGACCCACTTGTAATATCATCATCTTCAGCAGAAGATTCCTACATAAGAATGGGGAAGAACAATCACTCAGGCCACAACACAAATATCCATCACTATGCAATACACATCTTGACCCTATATTCTTATAAAACATGTTATTGTACAGTGTCTGTATTTGTTTTAATTATATCTCCACATTCTCTTGATTTCTTTCTGTATGAATTGGTTTTACATATTTTAAAATAATAAAATTTAAATCGTAGCTAAAATATTAAATCTAACATATAATGCTTGACATTTATCCTAATTTAATAACATTTCTTAAATCTAAATATTTTTCTTCAGTTTGATAAAAGCTTTTAATAGTCAAATACAAAAAAATTACTTAACTATAAAAAGGCAAGTGAAAATTGATCATTTAGAGTCTGAGCATAATTATCTATTTTCTTTCTTTCTTTTTTTTTATTTTTTGAGACAGGGTTTTTCTGTGTAGCTTTGGAGCTTATCCTGGCATTCGCTCTGGAGACCAGGCTGGCCTCGAACTCATAGAGATCCACCTGTCTCTGCCTCCCGAGCGCTGGGATTAAAGGCATGTGCCACCAATGTCTGGCTAATTATCTATTTTCTAAAACTTACTATGTAGCCATATGAATATTCTTTTTGCTTAAATGTTGACTTTTTTCTGATATCACATAGAAAATGTGTGCTTGTACAGTAGAGTAAGTGAGGATACTTTTGCTGTAATTTTGTCATTGTTCAGTCTGTGAGCAACATGTTATAGCAAGACATATTGATGTTTTTAAAATGATTTTCAACAATATTTAGGTATTCTTTTAGACATTCTTAGGTAAGACATGTTAAATTCTTAAACATCCTTCAGAAAACTTATTTTCACAAATCCTACCTGAGGAGCAGTCATAAAATGTCCTAAATGAGTTGCACGCACGCACGCGCGCGCGCGCGCGCGCGCACACACACACACACACACACACACACACACACACACGCACACACTTGTCTCTTCCATAAAGAAATATCAAGGGATTCTAAATACCCGTAGAATAGAGATTCTGTAATTATCTTTCAGTTTCCTTCTGTAAGAAAGAAAGGGTCTACTCTGCAAAGTGGTTCTATTTGGCAAATAGTTATGACATAAAATTATTTTATACTACATGAGAATGGAGACCCTAGAACAAAGATGTGTTTCTATTTTGTAATACCAGTTTGTAGGGCAGTAATAAATCTAGTAACCTTCCTGCTTCTAATTTATAGCTGGCAGTTCCTGGCATAACCTTGAATCCTCCTCAAAATCAACAGTGGCAGGTATATCTGGGATATTTTATAAAGCCAATGTAAAGATTCCCCCTGTCAAAAGTATGTTAAGCTGTACAAACTTATTCTGGCTTTTGTCTCTGTCCAGTATGGGTGGAAAAAATCTCCTGCCCGACTTTTATTTTTTTGTAGTGGGAAGAAGGAAGAAAGCAGCAGTAGGGATGACTTAAAGGACTAGAAAATGGGACATTTTTTAGAGTGTAGGCTAGCAAACATAGGAGTAGGAGATAGTCTCATTTCCCAGAGCTGAACAGGAGTTCAGTTATGAAGTCTTGTAAACAAGCTGGAATCAACACATTGAAGTATGGCACCTTTGCCAAGAAAAGCAGAAAAATCTCACCTACTTGGATCAGGCTCCGTTAATGGAAGTGAGAGGAGTTGCATTTTCTTTGTTACTCCTAAATCAATAAATGGCCAAATGTCAGGTATTTTCAAAACACCCAACTCTTTTTATTAATATAAGAGATAATTATCTTTTGCAATAAATATACAGTATTTAGTCCTTTACATCACATTTTTATGTGATA